ACTGTATATTCGGCCTCTGCTCCCTTCTGACTGAACTTCCATGAACTGTTATGATTTGACAAATGCACTGTATATTCGGCCTCTGCTCCCTTCTGACTGAACTTCCATGAACTGTTATGATTTGACAAATGCACTGTATATTCGGCCTCTGCTCCCTTCTGACTGAACTTCCATGAACTGTTATGATTTGACAAATGCACTGTATATTCGGCCTCTGCTCCCTTCTGACTGAACTTCCATGAACTGTTATGATTTGACAAATGCACTGTATATTCGGGCTCCCTTCTGACTGAACTTCCATGAACTGTTATGATTTGACAACTGCACTGTATATTTGCTCCCTTCTGACTGAACTTCCATGAACTGAATTTGACAAATGCACTGTATATATTCGGCCTCTGTCCCTTCTGACTGAACTTCCATGAACTGTTATGATTTGACAAATGCACTGTATATTCGGCCTCTGCTCCCTTCTGACTGAACTTCCATGAACTGTTATGATTTGACAAATGCACTGTATATTCGGCCTCTGCTCCCTTCTGACTGAACTTCCATGAACTGTTATGATTTGACAAATGCACTGTATATTCGGGCCTCTGAACTTCCTTCTGACTGAACTTCCATGAACTGTTATGATTTGACAAATGCACTGTATATTCGGCCTCTGCTCCCTTCTGACTGAACTTCCATGAACTGTTATGATTTGACAAATGCACTGTATATTCGGCCTCTGCTCCCTTCTGACTGAACTTCCATGAACTGTTATGATTTGACAAATGCACTGTATATTCGGCCTCTGCTCCCTTCTGACTGAACTTCCATGAACTGTTATGATTTGACAAATGCACTGTATATTCGGCCTCTGCTCCCTTCTGACTGAACTTCCATGAACTGTTATGATTTGACAAATGCACTGTATATTCGGCCTCTGCTCCCTTCTGACTGAACTTCCATGAACTGTTATGATTTGACAAATGCACTGTATATTCGGCCTCTGCTCCCTTCTGACTGAACTTCCATGAACTGTTATGATTTGACAAATGCACTGTATATTCGGCCTCTGCTCCCTTCTGACTGAACTTCCTGAACTGAATTTGACAAATGCACTGTATATTCGGCCTCTGCTCCCTTCTGACTGAACTTCCATGAACTGTTATTGATTTGACAAATGCACTGTATATTCGGCCTCTGCTCCCTTCTGACTGAACTTCCATGAACTGTTATGATTTGACAAATGCACTGTATATTCGGCCTCTGCTCCCTTCTGACTGAACTTCCATGAACTGTTATGATTTGACAAATGCACTGTATATTCGGCCTCTGCTCCCTTCTGACTGAACTTCCATGAACTGTTATGATTTGACAAATGCACTGTATATTCGGCCTCTGCTCCCTTCTGACTGAATTTCCATGAACTGTTATGATTTGCACTGTATATTCGGCCTCTGCTCCCTTTTGACTGAACTTCCATGAACTGTTATGATTTCTGCACTGTATATTCGGCCTCTGCTCCCTTCTGACTGAACTTCCATGAACTGTTATGATTTGACAAATGCACTGTATATTCGGCCTCTGCTCCCTTCTGACTGAACTTCCATGAACTGTTATGATTTGACAAATGCACTGTATATTCGGCCTCTGCTCCCTTCTGACTGAACTTCCATGAACTGTTATGATTTGACAAATGCACTGTATATTCGGCCTCTGCTCCCTTCTGACTGAACTTCCATGAACTGTTATGATTTGACAAATGCACTGTATATTATATTCCCTTCTGACTGAACTTCCATGAACTGTTATGATTTGACAAATGCACTGTATATTCGGCCTCTGCTCCTTCTGACTGAACTTCCATGAACTGTTATGATTTGACAAATGCACTGTATATTCGGCCTCTGCTCCCTTCTGACTGAACTTCCATTTGAACTGTTATTCGGCCTCTGATTTGACAAATGCACTGTATATTCGGCCTCTGCTCCCTTCTGACTGAACTTCCATGAACTGTTATGATTTGACAAATGCACTGTATATTCGGCCTCTGCTCCCTTCTGACTGAACTTCCATGAACTGTTATGATTTGACAAATGCACTGTATATTCGGCCTCTGCTCCCTTCTGACTGAACTTCCATGAACTGTTATGATTTGACAAATGCACTGTATATTCGGCCTCTGCTCCTTCTGACTGAACTTCCATGAACTGTTATGATTTGACAAATGCACTGTATATTCGGCCTCTGCTCCCTTCTGACTGAACTTCCATGAACTGTTATGATTTGACAAATGCACTGTATATTCGGCCTCTGCTCCCTTCTGACTGAACTTCCATGAACTGTTATGATTTGACAAATGCACTGTATATTCGGCCTCTGCTCCCTTCTGACTGAACTTCCATGAACTGTTATGATTTGACAAATGCACTGTATATTCGGCCTCTGCTCCCTTCTGACTGAACTTCCATGAACTGTTATGATTTTGACAATTCGGCCTCTGCTCCCTTCACTGAACTTATGAACTTCGGACCACTGTATATTCGGCCTCTGCTCCCTTCTGACTGAACTTCCATGAACTGTTATGATTTGACAAATGCACTGTATATTCGGCCTCTGCTCCCTTCTGACTGAACTTCCATGAACTGTTATGATTTGACAAATGCACTGTATATTCGGCCTCTGCTCCCTTCTGACTGAACTTCCATGAACTGTTATGATTTGACAAATGCACTGTATATTCGGCCTCTGCTCCTTCTGACTGAACTTCCATGAACTGTTATGATTGACAAATGCACTGTATATTCGGCCTCTGCTCCCTTCTGACTGAACTTCCATGAACTGTTATGATTTGACAAATGCACTGTATATTCGGCCTCTGCTCCCTTCTGACTGAACTTCCATGAACTGTTATGATTTGACAAATGCACTGTATATTCGGCCTCTGCTCCCTTCTGACTGAACTTCCATGAACTGTTATGATTTGACAAATGCACTGTATATTCGGCCTCTGCTCCCTTCTGACTGAACTTCCATGAACTGTTATGATTTGACAAATGCACTGTATATTCGGCCTCTGCTCCCTTCTGACTGAACTTCCATGAACTGTTATGATTTGACAAATGCACTGTATATTCGGCCTCTGAACTGTTATGATTTGACCCTTATATTGACTGCTCCCTTCCATGAACTGTTATGATTTGACAAATGCACTGTATATTCGGCCTCTGCTCCCTTCTGACTGAACTTCCATGAACTGTTATGATTTGACAAATGCACTGTATATTCGGCCTCTGCTCCCTTCTGACTGAACTGAACTTCCATGAACTGTTATGATTTGACAAATGAACTGTATATTATGATTTGACAAATGCACTGTATATTCGGCCTCTGCTCCCTTCTGACTGAACTTCCATGAACTGTTATGATTTGACAAATGCACTGTATATTCGGCCTCTGCTCCCTTCTGAACTGAATTTCCAAATGAACTGTATATGATTTGACATGAAATTTGACAAATGCACTGTATACTGTATATTCGGCCTCTGCTCCTTCTGACTGAACTTCCATGAACTGTTATGATTTGACAAATGCACTGTATATTCGGCCTCTGCTCCCTTCTGACTGAACTTCCATGAACTGTTATGATTTGACAAATGCACTGTATATTCGGCCTCTGCTCCCTTCTGACTGAACTTCCATGAACTGTTATGATTTGACAAATGCACTGTATATTCGGCCTCTGCTCCCTTCTGACTGAACTTCCATGAACTGTTATGATTTGACAAATGCACTGTATATTCGGCCTCTGCTCCCTTCTGACTGAACTTCCATGAACTGTTATGATTTGACAAATGCACTGTATATTCGGCCTCTGCTCCCTTCTGACTGAACTTCCATGAACTGTTATGATTTGACAAATGCACTGTATATTCGGCCTCTGCTCCCTTCTGACTGAACTTCCATGAACTGTTATGATTTGACTGTTATATTCGGCCTCTGCTCCTTTTGACTGAACTTGAACTGTTATGATTTGACAAATGCACTGTATATTCGGCCTCTGCTCCCTTCTGACTGAACTTCCATGAACTGTTATGATTTGACAAATGCACTGTATATTCGGCCTCTGCTCCCTTCTGACTGAACTTCCATGAACTGTTATGATTTGACAAATGCACTGTATATTCGGCCTCTGCTCCTTCTGACTGAACTTCCATGAACTGTTATGATTTGACAAATGCACTGTATATTCGGCCTCTGCTCCCTTCTGACTGAACTTCCATGAACTGTTATGATTTGACAAATGCACTGTATATTCGGCCTCTGCTCCCTTCTGACTGAACTTCCATGAACTGTTATGATTTGACAAATGCACTGTATATTCGGCCTCTGCTCCCTTCTGACTGAACTTCCATGAACTGTTATGATTTGACAAATGCACTGTATATTCGGCCTCTGCTCCTTCTGACTGAACTTCCATGAACTGTTATGATTTGACAAATGCACTGTATATTCGGCCTCTGCTCCTTCTGACTGAACTTCCATGAACTGTTATGATTTGACAAATGCACTGTATATTCGGCCTCTGCTCCCTTCTGACTGAACTTCCATGAACTGTTATGATTTGACAAATGCACTGTATATTCGGCCTCTGCTCCCTTCTGACTGAACTTCCATGAACTGTTATGATTTGACAAATGCACTGTATATTCGGCCTCTGCTCCCTTCTGACTGAACTTCCATGAACTGTTATGATTTGACAAATGCACTGTATATTCGGCCTCTGCTCCCTTCTGACTGAACTTCCATGAACTGTTATTACTTGACAAATGCACTGTATATTCGGCCTCTGCTCCCTTCTGACTGAACTTCCATGAACTGTTATGATTTGACAAATGCACTGTATATTCGGCCTCTGCTCCTTCTGACTGAACTTCCATGAACTGTTATGATTTGACAAATGCACTGTATATTCGGCCTCTGCTCCCTTCTGACTGAACTTCCATGAACTGTTATGATTTGACAAATGCACTGTATATTCGGCCTCTGCTCCCTTCTGACTGAACTTCCCATTTGATGCACTGTATATTCGGCCTCTGCTCCCTTCTTGAACTTCCATGAAATGCACTGTATATTCGGCCTCTGCTCCTTCTGACTGAACTTCCATGAACTGTTATGATTTGACAAATGCACTGTATATTCGGCCTCTGCTCCCTTCTCTGACTGAACTGTTCCATTTGAACTGTTATATTCGGCCTTGCTCCCTTCTGACTGAAATGAACTGTTATATTGACGGCCTCTGTATATTCGGCCTCTGCTCCCTTCTGACTGAACTTCCATGAACTGTTATGATTTGACAAATGCACTGTATATTCGGCCTCTGCTCCCCTTCTGACTGAACTTCCATGAACTGTTATGATTTGACAAATGCACTGTATATTCGGCCTCTGCTCCTTCTGACTGAACTTCCATGAACTGTTATGATTTGACAAATGCACTGTATATTCGGCCTCTGCTCCCTTCCTGAACTTCATGAACTGAATTTGACAAATGATATTCGGCCTCTGCTCCCTTCTGACTGAACTTCCATGAACTGTTATGATTTGACAAATGCACTGTATATTCGGCCTCTGCTCCCTTCTGACTGAACTTCCATGAACTGTTATGATTTGACAACTTCCACTGACAAATGCACTGTATATTCGGCCTCTGCTCCCTTCTGACTGAACTTCCATGAACTGTTATGATTTGACAAATGCACTGTATATTCGGCCTCTGCTCCCTTCTGACTGAACTTCCATGAACTGTTATGATTTGACAAATGCACTGTATATTCGGCCTCTGCTCCCTTCTGACTGAACTTCCATGAACTGTTATGATTTGACAAATGCACTGTATATTCGGCCTCTGACTGAACTTCCATGAACTGTTATGATTTGACAACTGCACTGTATATTCGGCCTCCCTTCTGACTGAACTTCCATGAACTGTTATGATTTGACAAATGCACTGTATATTCGGCCTCTGCTCCCTTCTGACTGAACTTCCATGAACTGTTATGATTTGACAAATGCACTGTATATTCGGCCTCTGCTCCCTTCTGACTGAACTTCCATGAACTGTTATGATTTGACAAATGCACTGTATATTCGGCCTCTGCTCCCTTCTGACTGAACTTCCATGAACTGTTATGATTTGACAAATGCACTGTATATTCGGCCTCTGCTCCCTTCTGACTGAACTTCCATGAACTGTTATGATTTGACAAATGCACTGTATATTCGGCCTCTGCTCCCTTCTGACTGAACTTCCATGAACTGTTATGATTTGACAAATGCACTGTATATATATTCGCTCCTTCTGACTGAACTTCTGAGGAACTGTTGATTTGACAAATGAACTATTCGGCCTCTGCTCCCTTCTGACTGAACTTCCATGAACTGTTATGATTTGACAAATGCACTGTATATTCGGCCTCTGCTCCCTGACTGAACTTCCATGAACTGTTATGATTTGACAAATGAACTGTATATTCGGCCTCTGCTCCCTTCTGACTGAACTTCCATGAACTGTTATGATTTGACAAAACTGTATATTCGGCCTCTGCTCCTTCTGACTGAACTTCCATGAACTGATTTGACAAATACTGTATATTCGGCCTCTGCTCCCTTCTGACTGAACTTCCATGAACTGTTATGATTTGACAAATGCACTGTATATTCGGCCTCTGCTCCCTTCTGACTGAACTTCCATGAACTGTTATGATTTGACAAATGCACTGTATATTCGGCCTCTGCTCCCTTCTGACTGAACTTCCATGAACTGTTATGATTTGACAAATGCACTGTATATTCGGCCTCTGCTCCCTTCTGACTGAACTTCCATGAACTGTTATGATTTGACAAATGCACTGTATATTCGGCCCTCCCTTCTGACTGAACTTCCATGAACTGTTATGATTTGACAAATGCACTGTATATTCGGCCTCTGCTCCCTTCTGACTGAACTTCCATGAACTGTTATGATTTGACAAATGCACTGTATATTCGGCCTCTGCTCCCTTCTGACTGAACTTCCATGAACTGTTATGATTTGACAAATGCACTGTATATTCGGCCTCTGCTCCCTTCTGACTGAACTTCCATGAACTGTTATGATTTGACAACTGCACTGTATATTCGGCCTCTGCTCCCTTCTGACTGAACTGTTATGATTTCCTTGAACTGTTGAACTGTTATTTGACAAATGCACTGTATATTCGGCCTCTGCTCCCTTCTGACTGAACTTCCATGAACTGTTTGATGCACTGTATATTTGACTGAAATGAACTGTTATATTTTCAAATGCACTGTATATTCGGCCTCTGCTCCTTCTGACTGAACTTCCATGAACTGTTATGATTTGACAAATGCACTGTATATTCGGCCTCTGCTCCCTTCTGACTGAACTTCCATGAACTGTTATGATTTGACAAATGCACTGTATATTCGGCCTCTGCTCCTTCTGACTGAACTTCCATGAACTGTTATGATTTGACAAATGCACTGTATATTCGGCCTCTGCTCCCTTCTGACTGAACTTCCATGAACTGTTATGATTTGACAACTCTGCACTGTATATTCGGCCTCTGCTCCTTCTGACTGAACTTCCATGAACTGTTATGATTTGACAAATGCACTGTATATTCGGCCTCTGCTCCCTTCTGACTGAACTTCCATGAACTGTTATGATTTGACAAATGCACTGTATATTCGGCCTCTGCTCCCTTCTGACTGAACTTCCATGAACTGTTATGATTTGACAAATGCACTGTATATTCGGCCTCTGCTCCTTCTGACTGAACTTCCATGAACTGTTATGATTTGACAAATGCACTGTATATTCGGCCTCTGCTCCCTTCTGACTGAACTTCCATGAACTGTTATGATTTGACAAATGCACTGTATATTCGGCCTCTGCTCCCTTCTGACTGAACTTCCATGAACTGTTATGATTTGACAAATGCACTGTATATTCGGCCTCTGCTCCCTTCTGACTGAACTTCGGCCTCTGAACTGTTGACAACTGCACTGTATATGATTTGACAAATGCACTGTATATTCGGCCTCTGCTCCCTTCTGACTGAACTTCCATGAACTGTTATGATTTGACAAATGCACTGTATATTCGGCCTCTGCTCCCTTCTGACTGAACTTCCATGAACTGTTATGATTTGACAAATGCACTGTATATTCGGCCTCTGCTCCCTTCTGACTGAACTTCCATGAACTGTTATGATTTGACAAATGCACTGTATATTCGGCCTCTGCTCCCTTCTGACTGAACTTCCATGAACTGTTATGATTTGACAAATGCACTGTATATTCGGCCTCTGCTCCTTCTGACTGAACTTCCATGAACTGTTATGATTTGACAAATGCACTGTATATTCGGCCTCTGCTCCCTTCTGAACTGAACTTCCATGAACTGTTATGAACTGATTTGACAAATGCACTGTATATTCGGCCTCTGCTCCTTCTGACTGAACTTCCATGAACTGTTATGATTTGACAAATGCACTGTATATTCGGCCTCTGCTCCCTTCTGACTGAACTTCCATGAACTGTTATGATTTGACAAATGCACTGTATATTCGGCCTCTGCTCCCTTCTGACTGAACTTCCATGAACTGTTATGATTTGACAAATGCACTGTATATTCGGCCTCTGCTCCCTTCTGACTGAACTTCCATGAACTGTTATTCGGCCTTGACAAATGCACTGTATACGGCCTCTGCTCCTTCTGCTGACTGAACTGCATGAACTGTTATGACTCCCTTCTGACTGAACTTCCATGAACTGTTATGATTTGACAAATGCACTGTATATTCGGCCTCTGCTCCCTTCTGACTGAACTTCCATGAACTGTTATGATTTGACAAATGCACTGTATATTCGGCCTCTGCTCCCTTCTGACTGAACTTCCATGAACTGTTATGATTTGACAAATGCACTGTATATTCGGCCTCTGCTCCCTTCTGACTGAACTTCCATGAACTGTTATGATTTGACAAATGCACTGTATATTCGGCCTCTGCTCCCTTCTGACTGAACTTCCATGAACTGTTATGATTTGACAAATGCACTGTATATTCGGCCTCTGCTCCCTTCTGACTGAACTTCCATGAACTGTTATGATTTGACAAATGCACTGTATATTCGGCCTCTGCTCCCTTCTGACTGAACTTCCATGAACTGTTATGATTTGACAAATGCACTGTATATTCGGCCTCTGCTCCCTTCTGACTGAACTTCCATGAACTGTTATGATTTGACAAATGCACTGTATATTCGGCCTCTGCTCCCCTTCTGACTGAACTTCCATGAACTGTTATGATTTGACAAATGCACTGTATATTCGGCCTCTGCTCCCTTCTGACTGAACTTCCATGAACTGTTATGATTTGACAAACTGCACTGTATATTCGGCCTCTGCTCCCTTCTGACTGAACTTCCATGAACTGTTATGATTTGACAAATGCACTGTATATTCGGCCTCTGCTCCTTCTGACTGAACTTCCATGAACTGTTATGATTTGACAAATGCACTGTATATTCGGCTCCCTTCTGAACTTCCATGAACTGTTATGATTTGACAACTGCCTGTATATTCGGCCTCTGCTCCCTTCTGACTGAACTGCATGAACTGTTATGATTTGACAAATGCACTGTATATTCGGCCTCTGCTCCTTCTGACTGAACTTCCATGAACTGTTATGATTTGACAAATGCACTGTATATTCGGCCTCTGCTCCTTCTGACTGAACTTCCATGAACTGTTATGATTTGACAAATGCACTGTATATTCGGCCTCTGCTCCCTTCTGACTGAACTTCCATGAACTGTTATGATTTGACAAATGCACTGTATATTCGGCCTCTGCTCCCTTCTGACTGAACTTCCATGAACTGTTATGATTTGACAAATGCACTGTATATTCGGCCTCTGCTCCTTCTGACTGAACTTCCATGAACTGTTATGATTTGACAAATGCACTGTATATTCGGCCTCTGCTCCTTCTGACTGAACTTCCATGAACATTTGACAAACTGCTGTATATTCGGCCTCTGCTCCTTTGACTGAAATCCATGAACTGTTATGATTTGTGCACTGTATATTCGGCCTCTGCTCCTTCTGACTGAACTTCCATGAACTGTTATGATTTGACAAATGCACTGTATATTCGGCCTCTGCTCCCTTCTGACTGAACTTCCATGAACTGTTATGATTTGACAAATGCACTGTATATTCGGCCTCTGCTCCCTTCCTGAACTTCTGAACTGAACTTGACAAATGCACTGTATATTCGGCCTCTGATTTGACTGAACTTCCATGAACTGTTATGATTTGACAAATGCACTGTATATTCGGCCTCTGCTCCCTTCTGACTGAACTTCCATGAACTGTTATGATTTGACAAATGCACTGTATATTCGGCCTCTGCTCCTTCTGACTGAACTTCCATGAACTGTTATGATTTGACAAATGCACTGTATATTCGGCCTCTGCTCCCTTCTGACTGAACTTCCATGAACTGTTATGATTTGACAAATGCACTGTATATTCGGCCTCTGCTCCCTTCTGACTGAACTTCCATGAACTGTTATGATTTGACAAATGCACTGTATATTCGGCCTCTGCTCCCTTCTGACTGAACTTCCATGAACTGTTATGATTTGACAAATGCACTGTATATT